CACACGGAGGAGCAAAAGTCGTAAAAAAAAAAAGCATTACTTTGGAAGGACATTGGGTATATAAGGGAGGGGGGGGGGGGGGGGGGGGGGGGAGGACTTGAATACATGCTGTTTTGTAACGGTTCCGTAGCCCTGTACGTAATGATGAATTCCGCTGGGCAGATCCGGAGCGCTTTCCGAAATCAGCGAGGGAGGCGAAAATCCGCTCCGTGATACTCGCTCCAAATCGACGAGCAGAAGGTGGTCGCGCATTTCTGGAGCGACTTGATTCTAAAGCTTTTATTCCTCGAAAAGAGCGTGGTGCCCTGCGATGTTCGGCCGTTCAAAATGGCCGCTGCTCGAACTTAACAAGCCGACCAACGCCTCAGCCGACTGAGCTTTCAGACGGTCAGTCACAACTTCCACTGTTTAGCTGCCAAATAACAGGCGACACAGGCCGGGCGCAATATCCGTAGCACTTAGTACATGTCACAAATAACGAAGAAGACGTCCGCGTTCGCCATCGACAGATACCTTTCGGCCGCCTTGAAGCGGCGGGGCACGCACAGCGATTGCCATCGGTGAAGTTTAGATTGCTTGAGAGACTTTAATAAACCCAAAGAGATCACAAACAATCACTTGCACGGTCGTTACGTACTCTGTTCTTACTTTATGGCACGAGAAAACGTCAACGGCATACGTTTCTGTCGTGTTATTTTTTTTTCGTTCTTCCTTTCACAATTACAGATGTAAGCGTTTTCGATTTTCCACGCTCCAGTCCCGGCTCTGCACCCATGACCCACGCGAGGTAGGAGCGGTCGAGCCGTCAGAATCCCGCGTAAACAACCGACGCATGCGAACGCAAACCAGGGGTGCGCAGCCCAAACTTTCCCAAGTGAAGCGTACCAGACACGCGACATCATCGCCTTACGTCACTATGTGACGTATCTCATGTAGACATCATTTTCCGCTCAGAAAGCTCGATTGATTGCGCTAGCTGTCCCCCGGACCCGCGCTTGCTCAAACGCGCACGACCCCCTTTATTGTTCTTGCGGTGGTTAGCGTTCTTTGTTAACCCACATATACAAGTAATGAAAGTCTGCACGTCACACATTCGTTTCAAAGTAGCACCCTGTAGTCTTTATTGACACTTACAGGTCAATACACGCCGACCGTCCACATGCCACTGAGCCGCTGTTTCGTCGGACAGAGTATCGAATACCACCGTTTTCTACTTTAAAAGAATAATCAGTTAGCGAGAGTTCTGTTTATTTGCGAAGTTTATTGACTAGCAGCATTTCAACCAAGCCCGTTCCTACAAGCCCGGCTGAGCCATTATAGCCATGATTGGGAGAATAATCTCTTTGTAACGTCCTGTTTTCGGCTCCTAAGGGACGCATCCTTAGGAGCCAAAATGAGAACTTCTACAATCTACAACCGATGAGAAATTTGTGGCAGTCACAACTATGACAATGTCACAAATGTGGCATAGTCACAGCAGCACAAACACAAAACGTGTTACTATAGTTTAGTGGTCTCGAAACCCCGGCCCGCAAGGGTTTTGACTGGCCCTTGGATGGCCATGGCTTTTCTAATGAAGCCCGACCCCCGGCCCACTCCCGGCAAACAAGTGGCTTGCAAAGCAAGATTAAACGCGCGTAAAAAAAAAGAAAACAAAACAAAAAAAAAAAAACAAAAAAAAAAAAATACGCCGCAATTTGTACCAGTGTGAAAAACAAAAATACCAGAAAAAAGAAACGAGAGAAAATTGCCATTGTAATGCGGGTCTTTCCCTATTCATTAGACATTATCATTGCTAGCGTCACTATTCTTAGTCTCCTGTTTCATATATGGATAATTACGCGTGTTAAAATTTTCTTGCGTTCCCATCTGTATTATACTTAGTGTTCCGTGTCGTATATAATGCCTATTGTCAGCATTAATTCTATTATTCTTTGTGGTCATCTGCACGGTGCGACCATCTCAAAGTTTCTGTGCGCTTTGGTCAATGTCTTGTGAGTTTCCTGGGTCCGAAATTGTCTGCAGTGTTATAATTAGCTGAATAATGCTTTAAAAATATAAAGGTTATATATTCATGCACCGTAGATTATATATTTTAATCCTTGCTGTTTTTGAAATCTTATATTTGTATGCATATCTAGGATTATTTATTTAGTTTTTTGTCATTTCCCTTTGCTCATTTATTTTCCGGTCCTGGAGACAGCGACAGATCTCCGATCTGGCCCCTTAGTTAAAAGGCTTGAAGACACCCCTTCCCCCCCCCCCCCCCCCCCCAATAGATTATCACAAAGCCCTTGCTATTATACACCTCAAAAACAGTTAAATACCCAAGTTATTCTTCAGCCCTGAGGGTCTTTCGAAGGAACTAAATGTGCTATGTTTGTTTCTGGGCATTAGTTGTTGCAACGTATCATGGCTGCGAAAAAACGAAACAAAAAAACAAACAAAACATTAACAGCAACAACCACGCATTGTGAGATATGAACTATTATTGTTTAAACAATTTCTAATGTAGAGGCTTCCTCAAGCTTCACAGATTTGTATCGAAAATCCGCGAAGGCAACACTTACGCGGTTTCCGCGGGTAAGTTATGTGGCCAGGCGGACATAGTATAGTGCGCAAACGGTACCAATCGTAACGATCATTCGTGTAATTAAGTAAAATTTGTCAATTAACTTTTAATTAGCAAAACATTGACATACGGTTTCAATTAGAAACTTGCTGATCGTCATTGAAAACCACAAAATCGGTTATTTTCAGAAAGACGTTTGAGCGCGGGAGAGCCCCGGTAGTGCGCTAAAGTTACCACCCGTGCAGAAGGACCCACGCTACCGGTGCGATAAGGTGCCGCGTGATTTTTCAGTCTCTTATCATAGCTCCAGCCTTGTACCTGTTGCACGATTGGTACCGTTTGCGCACTACTACGCGTCCCACGCGCTGGAAGTATTTAAGAAAATGACTAACCTAGTGGTTTCCGATGATGCTGAGCGAGTTTCTAATTGGAACCACCTGTCGTTGTTCACGAATTAAAAAGTTAATTAACAAAGTCTACTTAATTAGACGGGTGATTGTTGTGGTTAGCTCCCATACTATATCCGCCTGGCCGTATAACTCACCTGCAGGAACCGAATACGCGTAGGTTCCGCTTCTTTCTTTAAACACATCTGTAAAACTCAAAAAAAAGACCTTGTATATTCGATTTTGAATTTTCCGACTTTCCACAAGGGTTGCATTGTAATTTGGGTTCCGTGTTTTCAGGGCTTACTTTATGTCACAATCGAATGATGTATTCCGGAGTTAATTGCTTGCTGAGAAATTGGATCGCATCGAAGTATTTTGGTAGATCTTCAATTCTGTGAAGTAAGCAGTTTATTTTGGCAGTTTTTTTATTTTTTTAAAATAAAATAAATTTTATCCGGATTTAGGTGTGTACTGGATTGAAAAAAACGCGATTGCATCAAATAATATTTTTTGAACTGGATTTTACATTGACGCCTTTGCCATTCGTAATTACAAAGAAGTGTTGCTCCGATATAATAATGTTGTGCGTATTTTTACACAACCAGAAGTTAGTCAACCTCAATGGGCGTCTGGTGTCTCAGCTGTAGATGAGAAATTTATTCAGTGCAGTACAACGGCTGGACTGGTGTCTTTAGCGGGCACCAGGCATTAGTGATACACGACCACACACCGGCACGATGACCATACAGATCGAAACGGGCAGGGATTAAACCCAGGATCCCAGGGTTCTGCAGCGCGAGCTTTTGCTCCTCGTGCTCCAAGCTCGAATGCGCTAGACCACTCGGCCACCGATGCCCCTTCTCCAATAAACGTCGATACCTGAAAATCTCTAGCCTCCTGGAGACAGTCGCTGGGAAGCTCGTTGTCATCCCATCCTCTTCCTCCCTTTTGTCCCCTTCTATGAAATCTTTATGATTTATAGCCTCATTTTACAAAAACGGAGCGCTCCTAATTCTTTCAAGTACAAATTCAGTGGCTTTGTCGTGTACCTTCACTACAATGACCTGTTTTCCTTACCCCTGAATGAACCTTGAGAGGATAAACAATAGGACACGTTTTGCCTATGATCCGAGATTTGAAAGTGAATTGGGGTGGCATTCTCTTTGTTATGACCAAATGTAATTAAAGAATATCGTTTTTTTTTTAAATCTTGACATGGATATATGGAGTTCATTGGATAAACCCGAATTGACGAAATTATTACCGGCAAGTGTTTTTTGCGGAGTTTTGCGGGCTTGTCCAAAGACACAAAATCCCCGATATAATATACAAAAAACAACAACAAAAAAGTTGTCATCCCAGATTTATAATTCTTTCAACCACCGCAAAACTAGTGTAACCGATAGTTAAATAAGTTACACTTGTGTTCCTAATATCAGATGCTAGACTGGGCACGGTGCTCTATCCCACCCAATATCCTTCTTTTTAAAGTCCAAATCTTGATGAACGCTTGGCAGGCTTTTGCAATAACATCAGGCATGAGGCGTGTCTTAGTAAATTTAGATTTTTTCCTGGCTCTGAAATCTCGCAACAAGCCGCCAGTGCAATTCAGAAAAACTGTATGGACAGTGTGACGCAGTCAAGGTAGTCTTTAACACTACATTATATGGTGACGATATTGATATTTTAACCAAAACACGATTCGTAGTTGAAGGCAGAATTGTTCAGTGCAGACATAAATCTGATCGAAAGAATGATCGATGGGCTATTTGTTTGATCTTCACAAAGGTGAAAACCGGTCGCTTTCGGTTAGTCTTTTCGCGGAGGGCACTGACGGTTGCTCGTCTCATGTGGATTATGAGTGCGAGTTCTTTTACGTTTCGCTTGTTCTTACCGCAGAACAATCTGAACACTCTGCGCTTTGGTCCTGCGGCTCGCCTTACTGTCAGACGCTCCTCAATTGCTCTTTGATAATCGATTAAGCCGCTGTTTGGGATGCTGCAGTCGTTCGTATAGCGAGCAACTTTTTTTCATCGCAGATGCCGTTTGTTCCTTTCCTGCCAGCGCTGAGCATCGTCGTGAACACCATTTTGATGACGACCCTGCACGCTCTCACCTGGCTTCGTCTGCTTGTTTGGATCTCCGTTGGTGAGTTTCCGCTAAAATACTGTCGTGTCCTGAACTGATCGCAGCATGTAGAAAACGTGATGTTCACACCTTGCTACATAATATAATGACTTTGGCCCAATATAGGTATCACTTACCAATTGCTTTTGATGACATTTACGTAATGTAGACAGCCCATCTCAAAGTTAAGCGTGGGCTGGAGAAAACCGCGTAATAAATACGTTTCAGACTTGAATAAGTATCGTTGGCAGCTATTTATTGCGCACTTGTGGAACATCTGAAATCGTTTAACTCGCTCGTCTGAAACAGACACACGCCGATGTTGTGCCATTTTCCCCAGCTGTGCTTGAAAAGACGTAAAAATGCGTGGAGATAAAAATATGTGCTAGTTGGTACATTACTGAGAAAAAAAGCGCCGAATAAACAGGGATAATGAAGTAGATAGAGACGAAGCGCTCCGTCTCTATTTGCTTCTTGGTCCTCGTTTATTTTGCGCTTTTCTTCCATATTTAAAATTCTATTTCTTTAATGTACACACAGAAAGTTAACGTACAGAAAAATTACACTACCGGTAGAAAGAAACTCGATAAATACACCTGTCACGTATGGGGTCCATACTGACAAAAATATTTGAAATTCAAAGGGGGTTCCAAATAGTCGACCAGTTTAAAATTCGAACGGGTTACTAAATGGTCGAGCCATATGGTATTGTGGGATACGGGTACATGTTTGATACCAGCACCTCTTTCATACCGGCACACGTTCGATACCTGTCCCCGTTTCGAACGGGTACTGGTTTGATACGGTACCCTTTTGAGGTAAATACTTCTTTAGCCCCAAATGGGTACCGTCTAAAAGGAGTCGGCCCAGAACACGCTAAAAATAACTCCTGACGCTTTCTTCGGTAGACATATTTATTGGAGTATGTGAAGGGTGGGAAAGTCACAGCACATTCGATTGGATTCGTCGTCGAAGAAAGACAGCACCTAGCATTCGCTCGCTCATCAAATTTATGTTCAAACAAAGGCAGGTGGTAAACATGAAGTGCACGCGGAGACCTGCTAAAATGATGGCTAGGACAAAAGCACGAACGGCACACGCACATACCCGTTAAAAGTAACAATGCAATCAACAAAAGCAACGCGAGGAATTAGAAGTAAAGTTCAGAGAGCAACATTTTACATTGCGCGTGTGACCGAGGAGCGCAGTTCTAGATGATATTGAAAGAATCTCAGGACGCGGCCGACGAACACTCACATTTCCGCTACTGTATTGTAGCTAACGCTGCACCCTCGTTGGATATCTCCAGGACGCCGCCGGCGAACAGTCACATTTCCGCTACTGTATTGTAGCTAACGCTGCACCCTCGTTGGATATCTCCAGGACGCCGCCGGCGAACAGTCACATTTCCGATACTGTATTGTAGCTAACGCTGCACCCTCTTTGGATATCTCTGGGACGCCGCCGGCGAACAGTCACATTTCCGATACTGTATTGTAGCTAGCGCTGCACCCTCGTTGGATATCTCCAGGACGCCGCCGGCGAACAGTCACATTTCCGATACTGTATTGTAGCTAACGCTGCACCCTCGTTGGATATCTCCAGGACGCCGCCGGCGAACAGTCACATTTCCGATACTGTATTATAGCTAGGGTGTGCATTTTCCGGTTTTAACCGAAAAACACCGATAAACATCCGTCGGTAACGAAAATATAAAATCGGTTAAAACCGAAAAACACCGGTGGTTGGATATTTTCGCCCTGGTTAAAACCGAAAAACATCGGTCGTTGCTATTTTCTGACCTAGCGAAGCCCTTTCCCCGTAGAGGTTCGTCAAACGTGTTATCTCGTGGATCCTGCATTCTTCCAGTGTTTATACATGGCTTGCGGGTGGCGCCAGTCCGCCCTCCTTTCTGGGGGTCAAAAGCGTCTGGTGAACGCAGTGGAAGCTAAGCTCTCATACGCCTTTCCCCTATTGTGTCTCCCATGTCCCTTTTTTGTGGAAAAATTAACACAGTGGAGGGTAGGCTCTCACGTGCCTTTTCCACATTATGTCTGGGCAAATGATGTCGGTGCAAGCCATGTATTCAGAGGTTGCTGTGGTTCCTGGAAGACACTGCCGACGTCCGTGTCGTACAGGAGCGTGCGTTTTCATAATTGCGGGTTGAGAACCGCAAGGAACGTGCTGCCATGACGGCAGCACGTTCCTTGCGTGTAGATGCAAGCATGAAAGTATGCTTGCATCTACTATAATAACCAAGTGTGAAAAATAGTTGCTTCCTAGAGAAGAAGTGTATGAACTATGTGAATAAAATTGGAACTCTCTGTATGTGATCAATCGCTTTTTTTTTCACCGATAATCACCGTTTTTAGCCTCATCGTGAGATGTTCCACCGAAATACGTCGGTGTTTTGAAAATAAATAAACACCGAAAAACATCCGCCGATTTTTCTCACAAATAAACACCGGGAAGTACACACCCTAATTATAGCTAACGCTGCACCCTCGTTGGATATCTCCAGGACGCCGCCGGCGAACAGTCACATTTCCGCTACTGTATTTTAGCTAACGCTGCACCCTCGTTGGATATCTCTAGGACGCCGCCGGCGAACAGTCACATTTCCGATACTGAATTGTAGCTAACGCTGCACCCTCGTTGGATATCTCCAGGACGCCGCCGGCGAACAGTCACATTTCCGATACTGTATTGTAGCTAACGCTGCACCCTCGTTGGATATCTCCAGGACGCCGCCGGCGAACAGTCACATTTCCGATACTGTATTGTAGCTAATGCTGCACCCTCGTTGGATATCTCCAGGACGCCGCCGGCGAACAATCACATTTCCGATACTGTATTGTAGCTAACGCTGCACCCTCGTTGGATATCTCCAGGACGCCGCCGGCGAACAGTCACATTTCCGATACGGTATTGTAGCTAACGCTGCACCCTCGTTGGATATCTCCAGGACGCCGCCGGCGAACAGTCACATTTCCGATACTGTATTGTAGCTAATGGTGCACCGTCGTTGGATATCTCCAGGACGCCGCCGGCGAACAGTCACATTTCCGAAACTGTATTGTAGCTAACGCTGCACCCTCGTTGGATTTCTCCAGGACGCCGCCGGCGAACACTCACATTTCCGCTACTGTACTGTAGCTAACGCTGCACCCTCGTTGGATATCTCCAGGACGCCGCCGGCGAACAGTCACATTTCCGATACTGTATTGTAGCTAACGCTGCACCCTCGTTGGATATCTCCAGGACGCCGCCGGCGAACAGTCACATTTCCGATACTGTATTGTAGCTAATGCTGCACCCTCGTTGGATATCTCCAGGACGCCGCCAGCGAACAGTCACATTTCCGATACTGTATTGCAGCTAACGCTGCACCCTCGTTGGATATCTCCAGGACGCCGCCGGCGAACAGTCATATTTCCGATACTGTATTGTAGCTAACGCTGCACCCTCGTTGGATATCTCCAGGACGCCGCCGGCGAACAGTCACATTTCCGATACTGTATTGTAGCTAACGCTGCACCCTCGTTGGATATCTCCAGGATGCCGCCGGCGAACACTCACATTTCCGCTACTGTACTGTAGCTAACGCTGCACCCTCGTTGGATATCTCCAGGACGCCGCCGGCGAACAGTCACATTTCCGATACTGTATTGTAGCTAACGCTGCACCCTCGTTGGATATCTCCAGGACGCCGCCGGCGAACACTCACATTTCCCCTTCTGTACTGTAGCTAACGCTGCACCCTCGTTGCATATCTCCAGGACGCCGCCGGCGAACAGTCACATTTCCGATACTGTATTGTAGCTAACGCTGCACCCTCGTTGGATATCTCCAGGACGCCGCCGGCGAACAGTCACATTTCCGTTACTGTATTGTAGCTAATGCTGCACCCTCGTTGGATATCTCCAGGACGCCGCCGGCGAACAGTCACATTTCCGATACTGTATTGTAGCTAACGCTGCACCCTCGTTGGATATCTCCAGGACGCCGCCGGCAAACACTCACATTTCCGCTACTGTACTGTAGCTAACGCTGCACCCTCGTTGGATATCTCCAGGACGCCGCCGGCGAACAGTCACATTTCCGATACTGTATTGTAGCTAACGCTGCACCCTCGTTGGATATCTCCAGGACGCCGCCGGCGAACAGTCACATTCCCGATACTGTATTGTAGCTAATGCTGCACCCTCGTTGGATATCTCCAGGACGCCGCCGGCGAACAGTCACATTTCCGATACTGTATTGCAGCTAACGCTGCACCCTCGTTGGATATCTCCAGGACGCCGCCGGCGAACAGTCACATTTCCGATACTGTATTGCAGCTAACGCTGCACCCTCGTTGGATATCTCCAGGACGCCGCCGGCGAACAGTCACATTTCCGATACTGTATTGTAGCTAGCGCTGCACCCTCGTTGGATATCTCCAGGACGCCGCCGGCGAACAGTCACATTTCCGATACTGTATTGTAGCTAACGCTGCACCCTCGTTGGATATCTCCAGGACGCCGCCGGCGAACAGTCACATTTCCGATACTGTATTGTAGCTAACGCTGCACCCTCTTTGGATATCTCTGGGACGCCGCCGGCGAACAGTCACATTTCCGATACTGTATTGTAGCTAGCGCTGCACCCTCGTTGGATATCTCCAGGACGCCGCCGGCGAACAGTCACATTTCCGATACTGAATTGTAGCTAACGCTGCACCCTCGTTGGATATCTCCAGGACGCCGCCGGCGAACAGTCACATTTCCGATACTGTATTGTAGCTAACGCTGCACCCTCTTTGGATATCTCTGGGACGCCGCCGGCGAACAGTCACATTTCCGATACTGTATTGTAGCTAGCGCTGCACCCTCGTTGGATATCTCCAGGACGCCGCCGGCGAACAGTCACATTTCCGATACTGTATTGTAGCTAACGCTGCACCCTCGTTGGATATCTCCAGGACGCCGCCGGCGAACAGTCACATTTCCGATACTGTATTATAGCTAACGCTGCACCCT